CCCAACGAGGCTGTGGATGCCCCATCCCTGGAGGCATTCAAGGCCAGGCTGGATGTGGCTCTGGCAGCCTGGTCTGGTGGTTGGCAACCCTGCACATAGCAGGGGGGTTGAAACTAGGTGATCATTGTGAACCTTTTCAACCCAGGCCATTCTATGATTCTATGATTCTTGTATTAACAAGGGAACTTGAGAAGCTCTGTGGTCAGTAAGACAATGAGAAAGTTCATCCAGCTGAAAATTAATCTTCCTCTTCTCTCCCCACAAAATAAAAATAAAAATAAAACAAAATAAAACTACTTAAGTGATGAAGATGCGAAACAAATGAGGAGACTCAGTCACAGCCCACTTCTTCCTGTTCCCTGCCTGCTGCCAAGATGATGTTCATTGTGATACCTTGCTTGAGGAGTACTAAAAATACTTGTAGTTGGCTCTGACTTCTCTCATTGCTGCTAAACTATTCGCAAGAGGAATTCACTTACTTCACTTCAGGGCTCAACTAGACTTCCTTGTTTCATATTTCCAGATTCACGTGAACCTTTAATTACATGCATGTGTTCCCTACATACATCATACTGTAAGAAATTTTGGCATTTAAAACTGCCATACAGACAGGCAGTTCCTCAAAAGTTAGCAGGGACAAGTGTTCAAATTTGTGAATAGTTAATTGTGATGACAAAGCTTGCAGCACATCAGTGCTGTGACTATTGCTTGCTCTGTATAAGGCTCCAGCTGTGTTATTAACTACCTTAGGTGAGCTCTTACCATATAGATCTGCTTAATGAACATGGAATCTTCTCAATCACATTGAACTTGTTACAAACACTAGGTTTGTGGTTTGTAATCTGAAGCAAACTTGCAAATGTCACGTATTTAAATATATTATTTAGACACAAAACATGCCACACCATGCAGCACTGTACTTTTCACTCTGTTGTGTCACATAACTACTCTACTGATCAAAATAAGTTCATGAAATCATAGAATATCCCAACTTGGAAGGGATCAATGAGTCCAACTCCTCACTGTCACAGCAAAATGTAACTTATTCATAGTTCAGCCGAGTGACTTCATACTTCCTTTCTTTCAGCTGCATCTGCTGGATTTCCTTTTGAACTTCCCCTGTTGGAGGCACTCCAGCCTTCACAGCAGCTTCTAACTATCAGACCTGGGCTCAGCTACATGTTGTATAAAACACTCTAAACTGCACGGTTTACAACTAAGTTGTAAAGCCTCATCCCAGAACAGCTTAAAACTAAACAGAGTGAAAGCACAAGAAATCCCATGGCTCTCTTCTATGGGAACAGAGGAAGTCCCTGTCCTTTCAGCCAAGAACCACTGGCTTGAATCTCTAGACCTTGTAGGTGCAGCCACTTCTGAGCTCAAGAGGCTGTTTGCAGTAGTCAATGGCTGCTCTGAGTAACTCTGACACAAAAAAAAAAAAAAGGAAAAAAGAAAAAAATAAAGATGCCACAGGACCTACTTCTCTTTTATACCAAAGGTTAGAGCAAAATACATCTCTAATTGAAGGCTGTGTAAGAACAGTGTGACTCGATGACAAAGTCCGTAAGAGGAAGTCCAGTTGGTATGCCTCAGTGCAGTAACCCCAGTGGCTTTCATGATGGTGAGAGAATCACATGATCCCAACTCAAACTAGGCTATGTTTTCATTATTTATGCCTCTGTACTTTATAATACACTGGTTCATGCTAGGAGGTAGTAATAGTTGCAAGCAAGTTGATCTCAGACTACAGGTAATCCTAGACCTAGCTAAAGTTCCAGGCTACATAAAGGGAGCAATTAAGTGTCTTTATGAAGACAACCAAAGTAACTGCCCATGGCAGTTAGCTGTATAGTAGAGTTGGGCTAAAATTAAGCCATTTGCCCTGAGAGATTTCCATATACTTAACATGAAGGTGGGGAACATGAGACTGTTTTGCAAACTGTGAATACTGGAAAAAGAAGACAACTGGGAAATCAGCAGACAGCAAGAACACAAATTAGTGCTGTTACGAGGAGCTAGGTGGACATACCTGGAGAGAAAAGGAACTTACTTGAAAGAAAGACTTTGAAACTGCGAAACTGCCAGCACTTACCTGTTTCAACTCTGTTCTGGTAAACAAGGACATGCTTGCACTTCTGTAAACTAATTGTATTGCATCAGATCTGATTTGTGTAGTAAATTTCTCCCACGAAGACAAACAGTCATGGCTTTAAATATTAACTTAATGCTCATCAGCAATAAGCCAGACTATTTCAATAATTAAAGAAATAACATAGCTTTTATTTTCCTCTCAGGTATCTCAGACGAATTCATAACTCCCATGTTTAATTTTTATAAAAGTATCGGAGAGCTGAAGATGACACAGGAGGAATACGCACTGCTCACAGCAATAGTGATCCTGTCCCCAGGTAATTCCTAATTCAGAATTCAATGTTAGTGTGTTTGGAAATAAAGCATGAAGAGTGTGACCTGAGACTTATGAAAACTCACTTTCTACACAGAGTAAATGAGCATACATTCTAGTTTTCAGTCTATTCTGTTGTTCAACCAGAAGGCTGGTGACAGCAACAGCACCCAAGGAAACGGCTTGGACCGTCAGGGGATGGTCAGGCTGGATGTTAGGAAAAGGTTTTTCACCAGAGGGTGGTGGGCATGGAACAGGCTGCCCAGGGCAGTGGGCATGGGACCAGGATGCCAGAGTTCAAGAAGTGTCTGGACAATGCTCTCAGACATAGGATCTGATTTTCGAGTGGTCCTGTGGGGAGCCAGGAGTTAGAATCAATAATCCTAAGAGGGATTTTCCAACTTGAGATACATTATGATTCCATGATTCTATGAAATCCAAACTCCAAATGCACGATCTGGCTTTGTGTACAAGGAAAAAAAAGTGCTTAAATACCTTGCTTAAAATAATTGTTGGTAGCTTATCAGTGCTCAGAGCAATGGGCTTACTCCCTTAGAATATCCCAGTTGTGTTACATGTGCATTGCAAGTCCATTGTGGAATAGCACATGTTTTAAACGGCGATTGGGAAATCCTATGTATTAGAACTGAGAATGACAATGAAGGGCTTCAGCCTCTACTGTGCAAACAGCAGTGGGAGAGAGCAAGAGAACAGCATGGAGTTGTCCTTTAGGCGGTAGAGAGCTGAAAACTGATCTTCTACAGTCACGCCAGGCTTTGCTGTAAAAAACAATTCCTTGACAAGACAGAAGTAACCTACAAATTATGGAGAAGTTGTACAGTGCCTTAAACAAACTGACTCCTGCAGGAAGGGAAAAGAGAACCCCAATGCCTCAACACAAAAGACTCAAAGAGCAATGGAATTGCTTCACCTTCGCCATCTCACATGAAACTTACTTGGAAGCTTTAGTGATCCAAGTAAGTTTCATGTGAGATGGCGAAGGTGAAGCAATTCCATTGCTCTTTGAGTTAGTGCTGATTAGGAATGTTTTTACACTAAAAAATTAATAGAATCAATGAATCATTAATGTTGGAAAAGGCCTCTAAGATCATCCAGTCTAACCACAAGCCTATCCCCACCATGCCCACTGACCATTATGCTCAGTGCCACATCCACACAGTTCTTGAACACTTCCAGCGATGGTGACTCCCCCATCTCCCTGGGCAGCCTGTGCCACGTCCAACCACTCTTTTGGAGAAGAACTTGTTCCTATAAAAACGCTGAATCAAAAAATACCAGGCTGAGGCATTTTTATTCCCTCTTCATTTGAAAAGAAATGTTCTTGTTGGGTGTGAACATCAATGCCCAATGAAATACACTGATATTTGTTCATCAGAGTAAATACTTCCATTGTATCAAACATACATTTGCTAATTACTTCTTTCCCTTTTGAAACCGAAACCAGACCGACAATACATAAAGGACAGAGAGTCGGTGGAAAGGCTTCAGGAGCCACTGCTGGATATCCTGCAGAAGTTCTGCAAGCTGCACCACCCGGACAACCCGCAGCACTTTGCGTGCCTCCTGGGCCGCCTCACCGAGTTACGGACGTTTAACCACCACCACGCAGAGATGCTGATGTCCTGGAGAGTGAACGACCACAAATTCACCCCTCTCCTCTGCGAGATCTGGGATGTGCAGTGATGGATACCGGTTGTTTTTATTTCAGGACAAACGTCTTTTTAAAGGACCACACAGCATTTATTTTCGTAGGAAAAAGCAATATATCACAGTGCATTAATTTTTCTTTACTGCATTTTTATAGAAACTTGCCACGGAGTTCACAAAAGCCGTTTTGTGCATTATACACAGAATACTGTATAGCTGTCAGATTTCCACACGTGAGTTATAATTTTCTCTGTATTTATATTCTTTGATCGGAAAGAATTCAATGGCTCCTCACAGGAACCCCACTAATCCCTCCTGCAGTTGCTCTCTTTGCAGAGTTCCTCTTGCAAAATGGGGCGATTCAGGCTTCCATTCACATTTTTCATTGCTGTGTTTTTGTGCTTGGTTTCCATTAAAGAATATATTCCAAATATTTACTGTAATAAACCAGCAGAAATGATTACTGCCACGGTGTGTAACTGAAATGTGCTCGCCACGTGAGAAAGGCAAGCTCCGATTTCTTCACGAGATGAAAAATCGCCACGGGCAGAGGGACGCGCACGCACACAATGACACAGACGTGTAACTTAATCTGCGTTCTTACTATTTCAAAGTAAAAATCAGGTTATTTTGCTCTTGAGCGGCAACGTCCAAGACCCTACCGCAGGAAGGCGGCCGCAGCCTGACACCCGAGCCCCGCGCAGCGCGCTTTCGCAGAGGGGGCTGTGGGCGGGCGGTTCCCCTGCGGGGCGCGGCTGCCGGTGGCGCGGAGCCACGTGCGGCTCCGCCCCGCGGGCGCTGATTGGCTCTTTCGAACGGAGCGGCCGGCGCGGGGCGGAGGTGCCGTGCTGTGTGGCGGCGGTGCGGAGCGGTGGGTGCCGGGGTGTAGGTGAGTGTCTGCGGGTGGGCATCGGGAGCGGGACGGCGGTTCGGGGCTCGGTAACTCTCGTGCTAGGGTAGTGCCGTGGAGCCGAGCACGGCAAGGCAGAGGGAAGCGTTCGCGCGGAACTTTGTGAATCAGTTCTCGCGTTTGGGGGTGCGGTGCTGGTATTGTAGGAAGCGTGCCCCGTGACAGCGCCCATCAGGGTCGCTTAGCGAGCTGGGAAACGTCGTTTCCTTAAACTGCCTCAAGGCTGGCGGTGCTCCAGGGATGCTGTGTGCCTTCTTTGGCGTAAGTATCAGATAGAGACGAGGGGACTCAGGGCATAGCTGGCTTGTGCGTGGTAGTGATAAATGTGGCAGGTGGGTCTTTCATAATAAGATGAGATTTTATATCAAGTTTCAGCACGTTCCTCCTGCTGGTCAGAAGGCATTGAGCAATGCTTCCCACTGTGTTACTTCACTGAAAGAAAACTGGGGTGGAAAAGTGAGAAAATAAAGCTGGTTCACGTGAAGCAGGATGTCTCAGTGCAAGCGGTGGCATGGGAGGACCAGAGGCTCTCAAACGGGATGCTCCTGTGGGGAAGGAGCTGTGACACCTCCAGGATGAAGTGCTTGCCCTGAAGCTCAGGTGGGCTCCAGCCCTGCCAGGTGCCCCTGGGGCAGTGTCTGCTCTCGCTTGAGGATGTGGAAAGGCAGCCCCGAGGAGAGCCGCCGGCACACTGTGATGCCACTCCACAGCCCCGCCGTGCCAACTCGTCTGGTTCCTTCCCTTTCATGCCTCTGAGGCCTCCCCAGGGAGGCAGAACTCCTGCTGACTCAGCCGTGAGCGAAAGGGCTCTGTAATTGCAGTGGTGACAGGGAGTAGCGCTCTGAGGACGTGTCATGTTGTGCTAACCTCTCTTCTGAAAAAATCTGGGATGTCTTCTGGTAGGTTTCAACAGATCCTGCTACGACAACTTCTTTCATTTGACAGTGTTTAAAAATGTGGATTCCAGCTGCTCTGGGCTGGTCTGCTCTACCAGCCTTTGGGTGCTGATGGAGCTGAAGATGAAGTGTGATATTTCTTAAGCAAAGGGTGAGGATGTGAAAGTGCTTCTTCCCAAAGGTTTTTAATGAGCCTGTAAATCCCTTTAAGTTCTGTATGATACATGAACGGCTGCTTCATCTGCATACTAAATAGCTGCAGAGCTATGGACTTTTTTTGTTTCCTTGTAAACAGGGCCATCTAATGAAATGAGATTTGGATGTGGTTTATCTTGTGCTATAGAATGGCTTGTAATTAGGGTAGCGTGTCTTGCTGGTTGGGGCCCATATATTCAACCTAATACAACTGATACTGAGTTAGATATCTTGGGCAGCATCCGAGAGCATGTGCTTAGCACCCTGGAGTACTGGTGTTGAAGCACTTTGGTGCTTCCTCAGATTGGAGGAAAAGTGGTGGACAAAGCAGTGGGGAACAAAGCAGTCGGAATGGTTTTGTGTGGCTGTCAGACTGTGTCTGCACCCCTCGTCCTGAGAAATGCCTGTCCCTATGCTGTGTTAGATACTTTATTTTCCACCTCTCTTTATTAAAGCTCCAGTCCTTTGCTGGAGGCTCAGCAGTCAGCCAGCTGAAGGTAGCTGTTGCCTTCCCCAGTGTATAATTTGGGGCTGCCCACCTGTCTTGCTGCAAATCAGCACTGCTGTATCGATCTTGCCATCAGGTGCTGTTAAGCAGTGTTTCTCCTCTCCACCCATCCCATGGAGCCTGTGGGCAGCAGAAGGGCCAGAGGAGATTAGATGGGATGTGTTTCCTGGGAATGGTGCTGGTGGTCAGGAATCTCTACATCTGCCAAGCACTGGGCTTTGTTACCTGATTGGGAAGCACTTTCCAGTTTCTACTGCTTCCCCTGTTTAAAGGGGGGAAGCAAGTAGACAGCGTTCCTAGGCACCTTTAAGATACCAGCTGGCCTGGAAATGGAAATGGCATAGCCAGACATGGCCAAATTACATATATATTCATTCTGGAGCCTTTTCTTTCACACCTGTGAGCCCTGGGCACTAACTGCTTGTTGAATGAAGATGAGTTGAAGAAACTGATATGGTTCTAGCTGGGAGCTGCCTGAGTGCAATGTCAAATGCTTGTTTCATTTATTACATACAAATTATCGATGCAGAAAAACCCACTGGTTTTAGGAGAAATCCAATTTGGTTATGACCACCTGTTACTGCAGTGTTTTCCTCACCATCCCTCTCATTGCCAGCAATGAGGCAGTGTTCATCTGTGTTCCTTGTAGTCTGAGAACAGACAGATGTGGGATCTGAGAATGACAAACTCTTAAGTTAACTTTAACTGTCAGCTCAAAATCCATTCAGGATAGTCTGTTGTGATGAAATTTTTCTCTTAAATTCCATTCCCAATGCTAAGTGAACCCATATCTCTTTCTAGAGAGCCCTAATGTATACAGGCTTACAAAATGACTAGTTTTAAAACAGCAGGTCCCTGAAGTTTGAGTGCTACAACTCTTCTCCTCAATCTCCATATTTATGACCAGTTTTTGTTGGGCATTTCTGCAGAACTGCAGATGCTGAACATTTTTGTGATAGCTGTCGTGTGAATGTTTTGCTTTGTTCTTGCTTCGAGCACTCCCTGTGAATTAGGCTGCCTTTTGTTCTTCCTGTGGCAGTTAGCATGCCAGATTGTTGGCCAACGTGGAGATCCTTGTTTTAATGAGACCAGCTTCTCTGCTGGCTGTTCTGCTGTTGTTTTATTTATTTCTTTTTGATCAATGAAGCCTCTTACTGCGACTCTCTTGGGACAATAGCTTCCTTATGCTAAAGGAAAATGTATTCCCCTGGACAGAGCTGTGGGAAGCATAACATGCTCATTAGTAATGCTTGGTATATACTTTGCCCTTCCCTTGTTCATTCATTGAAGAAAAAATGGCATTGTGGTGAGGATGGCTCTTTTCCTCCTAATAAGTGCCCGTGTAGCTAATGCTGCACATTTCTAAACCTCGAGTCTGTAAGGAGAGACTTCATGATTCCCAGCCTGGTGAAGAGTTTGTGCTGCTTTTTTCCTCTTGTTGAAAACACTGATGGAAAAGGAATGGGGAAGTGTTGACCTAATTGCATCTAAAACTTTCCTTAAGGATTGTTTTGCAAGGGCATTGTCCTTATAGCTTGCAGCATTGCATCAAAAACTTAGGTTCATGGTAGCTGCCTGGAAATCTACGTCAAAATCCATATAGAAATTAATAAAGCTATCAATTTCTTTTGTGTATCTATGCAAGAATAAATCTCATTCTTAGAATTGATTTCATCAAGATTGTTCTTAATCTTTGAAGTATGAGCTTTATGTAAGCTCAGGATGTGTATGTGTGTCTCTGTGCATGTGCAAGATATGCTTGGGGTAGGTTGGAAAGGAAGAATAAGTGCCAGCCATGCCAAGTCTGAGAACTGTTTGAGTATTGCTTTGGAAAAGCAAGTGCCTTACAGCTCCTTAAACCAATGCAACCCTTTGAGCATTATTTATGCACTTGAAGTTAGTTGCTACTTTAAGCTGTAATAACTACTACTTTATTTGGAGACAGAGTGCCTAAGGAGCCTGAATACTGAATTAACACCTTAAATACTAAAATAACTATTCCTTTCTTGCATCTGTGTCTTCTTAGACTTGCTCGTGTTTTGCCTGGTGGGTTTTTATTGGGATGTTTTAGAAAGCGGGACTGACTGTCTTTAAACTTCTCTTTCCCCAGAGGGAGAAACTGATGTAAATGCTGGTGACCATGCAGAATGCAGTTCAGGTAAATGTCTTTTGTAATGTTTGAATTCTATATTATATGTTTTTATGTAAACATCTACCCTGAAGCAGATGAAATGATAAAATCCCCAGAATAATCTCTAGCCTTTTAAACAAATAAATAAATAGGAGTTTTCCCTTTCAATAAGTGGAGCACTGTGGTGAGGTAGGTAACCCATGTTGTAATCACTTAGGCAATACTTTCAGTTTCTAAGTGCTGTTTCCTGAGAAGTTTTCTAAGTTAAAGGATAAGAATATTTGAAACTATTGACTTAAAAAAAAAAAAACAAAACAAACAAAAAAAAAAAAAAAAAAAAAAAACCCTGCATATAAGTAAATTGCTACAAAAATAGAAGTCTACATTTTAGATACACATCCCTCCTGAGCTGAAGAAAGTAGCTAAGAATATTGGAAGGACTCTTTCTCTTTGGGAATTCTATCCATGCCGTTTCAGCACGATCCTTCTCTTCAAGTGTGAAGGTATCCATCAGTCTGAAAACATGGGATCCTTAAGAGAAATGCTAAGGATTCATGTTTAAGAGCTGTCTATGCTCACGTTTCTTCTTTTAGTACCAGCACTTTAATGATATAAACTCTAAGTGCACCTGAAATGATTGATCACATAAGTCAGTAGTCTATAACGAGTTATATGATAAACTACAGGTTGTATTAATATGTGGTGAGGAGGAAGAAGACAGCATAAATGAGTAATGTTTGTTTTGTTTGCCTACTAAAGAAGATCTGCTTATAGCTACAATAGGGTAACTGAGAACAAGAGAATGAATGTGCTTTTGATGCAGGAGTTACTAATGAGAACTGTACCATTCTTGATTATTGCTGTGTTGGTTTGGTGTGTCTGTCTGAGGGGAAACTAAAGCTTACTCTTTGAATTATGCTGAAGATGTATTATTCAGAACCGTGAGAGTCCATCCTCTGTCTGCAAATATTACAGCTTACTGTCTTGCGCATACTGAAATCTCTTGCAGGTGTGGTTTGGAGATGACCTTCCTTTAAGTCCTCGAAGCCCTCTGACTCCCAGACACGGCCCAGGTCTGGCAGATGTGTGCCTGTACGACCAGTGGATATCTGTGCGGCATGAAGCAACATTGGTGCCTATGCAAGAAGACCTGTCAATCTGGCTGTCTGGCTTGCTGGGTGAGGTTAAAAATAAATCATTGTCTAGTAAATTTCAAAGCACATTCAAATATCCAACTCAACACTGACACTTAATATCCATAATATTAATAGCATTTGAGCCTGAATGATTAGGAGAATTGCATTAAAAATGCATGTGCTGGTTTCAGATCTTATTAGCTTCCAACTGTTAGAGGTAAGGTGGTTACAGAATCAGAGAATCACAGAATGGCCAGGGTTGGAAGGGACCTCAAGGATCATGTATCTCCAACGCCCCTGCCACAGGCAGGGCCACCAACCTCCCCATTCAATACTAGACCAGGCTGCCCAGGGCCCCATCCAGTCTGGCCTGGAACACCTCCAGGGATGGGCATCCACAACCTCTCTGGGCAGCCTGTTCCAGCACCTCACCACTCTCTCTGTAAAGAATTTCCCCCAACATCCAACCTAAATCTTCCCTCCCTCAAAACCATTTCCCCTTGTCCTGCTGTTATCTACCCTTTCAAACAGTTGATTCTCCTCCTGTTTGTAGGGTCTCTTTAGGTACCAAAAGGCTGCAATGAGGTCACCCCATAGCCTTTTTTTCTCCAGGTTGAACAAGCCCAGCTCCCTCAGCCTGTCTTTGTAGGGGAGGTGCTCCAGTCCCTCATCATCTTTGTGGGTCTCCATTGGACCGTCTCCAACAGCTCTCTGTCCTCCTTGTACTGGAGGCTCCAGACTTTGACACAGTACTTCAGATGGGGCTCACAGGAGTAGGGTAGAGGGAGACAATCACCTCCCTGTCTCTGCTGGCCACCCTCTTCTGATAGAGCCCAGGATACCATTTGCTTTCTGAGCTGCAAGAGCACACTGCTGGCTCATGTTAAGCTTTTCATTCATCAAGACCCCCAGGTCCTTTTCTGCTGGGCTGCTCCCAAGGACCACTCCTTCCAGTCTGTATAGACGCCTGGGATTCCTCTGGCCCAAGTGCAAAATCTTACACTTTGCTGCATTGAACCTCATTAGATTAATCCTTCTAATTTATAGTTCTGAGTCTTGTTAGTCTAATTCAGTGAATATTTGATTTTACTTTATTTATATTTCTACTAATTTTCAGTCTTTGAAATCCCTTTTTCTTTTATTATGTGGAGATATCAGTGGCATATGGTTGGGCTGGACAATCAAGTATTTATTTAGAATGAATGTTTTGGAAATTTCTTTCTAAAAGCTTTCATTATTTTATTATTTCAGCATCAACTTATTTTATTGGTCTAGCCCACAGACGAGAAGAACTATTAAAGTTAGTCAGCCTCTGTTAGATGAGCATAAGTAACAACAGTGCTGAGTGTTGGTCATCAGACTTCTCTTCTTTGTGGGCTGTAGTTTAACTGAAGTCTTTAGCACTGGAACACTCTTGGAGATGCCTCTGAGTTCACGTGAAATTTCTTTGTGTTCTGTGGAGTAATTCCAGTACTGGCTCTTTTTTTTTCTTTCTTTTTTTTTTTTAGGAATAGAAGTCACAGCAGAGCAACTGCTGGAAGAACTTGATAATGGAGTACTACTCTGCCAATTGATTGGTGTTCTTCAAAACACAATTAAAAAATCATGTAGCTCAAATAATTTAAGGGTGAGTTATATTTAATTTTTTAATACATAGATAAACACTTTAGTAAGAAAGGCAACTTCTGTATTTTTGTCCAAACCTTTTTGTTTAAAGTAAATCAGTATTTGTTTTAAGACTATTATCTTAAAACTATATTGTCCCTTGTTCCCATATTATTGTCTCTGTTTTCTAAACTGAGCTTGAAAATGTTGCAGTGAGTTTCAGTTTAGTTGATTCGGGGTTTTCTGTCTGTGCTAATTGTGTGGCTATGAATAGAACCTGGGAGGAAGGAATCATTGTCTAGACACGTGAAATCAACAGATATAACCCAGCAGAGGGGGAAATGGGGAAGCAACTGTATAGACAACTTTTTGTGAGAGGTTACAGAGCTAAATACTGTAATTCTGTCACTATTAACACGGGTAAGACTAAATACCATCTACTTTAGAGTAGCTTTTTTAATAGAATGCATGTTGTTTTTCTTGAACCAATAATAAATACCAACCGCTGCTTCTGTACTCCAAATTTGGCTTTTTTTCTTTCTTCTGAAAATGTGCTTTGAAATCTGTTGTCAGTGTTTATGTGCACAGTGTACTGTTTTCTTCTCTTGCCAGAATTTTCCAATGAGAAAAGTTCCATGTAAGAAGGATGCTCCATCAGGATCTTTTTTTGCCAGAGATAACACAGCCAACTTTCTTAACTGGTGTAGGGCCATTGGAGTTGATGAGACTTACCTCTTTGAATCTGAAGGTTTAGGTAAATCTACCTTTTTGTAAAACTTTTCATGGTCCGCGTGTGGATAACTACCTCGCCAGGGAGAACTATTGCATGTAGTCCTACAAAGCTTTTGTCATGACTGCGTCTGTCTTGTGAAACATTTATTTTTAGGGCAGTGTTTGATGTGGAAGCACTGAAATATCAGTTCAGTAACTTCTCTAAAGAGAAGGATGTTTTTCCAGGCTACTAGAAGTTGCCACGTGAGATGAAGAAGGGTAGTGATAGCTGTGCAGTGAACTCCTGTGTTTTTCTTCTGTAAAAAGCCCTGCCAAGAAACAGAAGTTGTGCTGTCCCTTCCCTTCTCCACTCCTCATTCTTTCTGTACGCTGAAGATCACAGGGCCATGGAGTCAACTCATGATAAGATCCTTTATTTAGTATTAGAGAAAATTCTATTGGAGAAAGCATTCAGAATAATGCACTTATGACTACTAAGTTTGGTAACTGCATCAGAGCATTGGGGCTGAAATGACAACAGTCTGTTGGTAATTAACATTTAGTTCAAGTCTTACTTAGTGTAACTATAAACCATGTGTATTCTCCTGTCTTAACAAGATAGTTATACACACAGTTGGCAATATTTATTTTTATGCCTGCTGCAGTGCACAGCCTTGTAATAACCAACTACTAGACAGATAATTCCAGAAGGAATACTTTTTTTTTTAAAACTGTTAATTAAGAGAAACTGCTTCCATTGTATGGAAATAATGTAATGCTCTTCTACCAACTATTATGTCTCTAGAAAAATAATTAATATAAACTTCTCTTTGGCAAGTCAAATACTTTTTTAAAAAAAAAAAAAAAAAAAAAGGCAGAGGGAAGAAAAATCTTCCTCTGAAGCAGAACAGCAAAAAAAAAATGCGAAGATCCTTTGTTTTCAATAATCATATGAATATGTCACAAAGCTTACTAGATTTTCTTGAAGTCTTTGTGCCTTTTAATGCTATTTAAATGGGAGGTGCTGGTTTGACTAGCTGCTTTTCTTTTAAACTCTCCTTGCTAGTTGGACTGCCTGTGCCTTCCCTACTGCATCACGCATCTTTTAAAGCATTTGAGAAAACATCCTTATTTGCATCTGTCTCATTCTGATTTAACTAGGGACCATATCTTTTTTTCAGACCCACAAAACACAGACGAGAGGGAGAATTGAGATATAAGAAAATTAGTTCTAGTATTTTTTAATTTTAACTTATAGGAATTACGCTGCTTAAACATCTGAGTTCCTTTAACTGGCTGGGTAACTAAAACCAGTTTAGCCTCCCTGAGATAAGTAGACAGGATTTCATAAGGCTGTGGCTTTTGCTCATCGTCAAGTGTTTTGAAGTCTGATTCTAACTCATGACACAAGCTTGCTGTGTGGCATAAATATTGTCTGTGAGCCTATTTGGCAGTTGAAATGAGCCGACATGAAGTCTCCTTGATGACACATTCTTTCCATTGATGTTCTCCATCAAACTTTCAAGCTGTTCTTTATGAATGAAATAGGGGAAAGACAACCTGGCAATTGCCTTTTTCATGTCAAACATGTGTAGCAACACCTCCTGATAAATGTGGGTGGCCATGGAGAAAATTAAATTAATTAAATTGTTACTGAGTTATCGGAATGAATAGCCATTATGAGGTGCCCTTTAACATCGTCTTGGTTTCTGCTAGGGGTATATTTGAATTTTTCTCTTATGGATTCAGGCAAATTATGCCTTTTCTCTTACAGCTGACAAAACCACTTATGGAGAAAAAAAAAAAAAAAAAAGATTAAGAAAAAATCTCTAGTACCTTTTGGATTATGGCTGGGTCAACTTTCTGTTGAATTAGCTATCATAATCAGATCCTTTAATAAGTAGAATTACAAGTTGGATTAGATTAAATAACTTTGTGAAACTAGATGATCTTTCCAACTTAAGACATTCTGTGTAAGCAAGAACATTTGACTTCATGCTCAGCTTATACATTAGTAAATGTTTTAGTCTTGTTTAAAGTGAAATTATTTTACTTACCAAGCTGAATGTCAGAAAGATATTAGGTTTAACCTGTAAATATGGAGCTGGCTCATTAAGTTTCTCTTCGGAGTGAATTTTCATGTTCTGTTTAATATTGGACTGCACAGCATGAAGGAAGTTTATCTAAATGGTACACCATATAAAATTCTATCTACAGTTTTTCCCATTTCTTATGCTTAATGGTGTGTGAAGAACAATGGCGTGTGTGTAGAGTGAAGCAAGCTCAATGACATTTTTTCTAGCTTTTGGTTTCTGAGTTATTGGGCAGCATTCCTCAATGGCTAAGAAAGCATGAGGCTCATTTGTGTTCTACAACATTCATACAGCTGTTTGTGGGCTTCTTAGAAATTGTTGACAGAGTCTCAACTTTGAGGTTTAAATGGGGGCTGAGGAGGAAGTAATTACTTGTGTGATGTTTTAAACTATTCTCTGTCCCTTTATTTTTCCCTAGGCTCTGCAAGAAGCAAAACCAAGATAGACCTAAAATAGACCTTGTTTTCTTGTGCTCTTCCATTCTTTAGAGTGGCATTAAAAATAATTGAGTGCTCTCATTTCAAAGTTGTCAAGAAAACCCAAGGCAACTGCCAGAGTCATCTGCATACAATTTGGCTATCACTTCATCTTTCCCTCTCATTCTTCAGCTTCAGGATTTGTCTGTATTCATGATTCAAGATTCAGGAGCTCATGATTTCATGTGCCTACGTGATCAAGTGCATACAGCTGTTAGAGCTGTTCTGAAATGAGGTGTGCTGTGCAGTGAATGTAGGCAGAGTTGTGGAGAAGCAAACGCAAACTAATAAGTTGTGTTATTAGCACAAAAGTGCTAATAACGTATCTGAGCTAATGTTTCTGCTTCAGTGTGATCACTTCCAATACCTGCTATTTGAGTTTGAGTGTTTGACCAATATCATCCTCACCCCTTTCTTACAAAGGTTTCCACTCTCTTTCTTGCCTCTGAGCAGAATGATGGCTGCATTGCAGTCATCTGCTCCTTATTCTCTTTATCCAATTGCAGAGGCCTTCCCACAATAAAAATGGGTTACAACTTCCTTTTATTTTTGATTTCTTTTCAGTTTTGCACAAGGATCCAAGACAAGTGTATCTTTGTTTGTTGGAAATTGGACGCATTGTATCCAGGTATTTGATCCATTGGTGACTTTAAATAGAAACTGAAGAATGTATTCCATTAATCAAAAGCTAAGATGGTCTGTGGCCATTAAATGCAAAGCAGTAGATGTTAATTATGTGCAGAAAGTAATGAGTAGCACCTCTACAACCACTGTATCAGTATTTTGTACAAATATTTATCGTTTTATTTTCATGGGGAGGTGCTGATCCACACTGCTTCTTATGACCATATGTTTAAATGTTACCTTCAGCTTATAGATATGTGTACATCTTGGAAGAATTTGATGAATAGTCCTGAAGGTCTTTAATTTTTTAAGTTTCTTGGAAGTTTTAAGAAAGCTTTAAATAGGAAGCAACTCTTAATTGTTCTCTAAATAGACTTCTAATTTGTTTCCAGCACAGAGTAGAAAGCTTTAAGGTAGTTCCTGTCCAACTCAGATTAACTGTTTTTCAGGTTTAGCAGTATTGATATTGCCTTCCCTGGTAGCTCTAGGACCACCTTGGTGAGAACTTCTAGAAACTTGGAGGTCCTCCTTTTCTTTGGATTATCAAGACAGTTATTCCTGTACTGCTGTTCACTCTTAGTCTAACTACTCACAATTTTGCTTGCTTGTTATAATCACATCTTTGTTTTCTTTATCAAATTATTAATTAAAATTTCTACTTATGTAATTGTGTTGAGATATGGAGTTGAACCTCCTGTGCTTGTAAAACTGGAGAAGGAAATTGAGCTAGAAGAAACACTGCTAAGGACCTCTGGACCAGCATCACCTGTTGACACAGCAAAGTCGTGTTGTCACCATGGGGAGCTACATGAGGCAGTAAGTACTTACTTATTGTGGTCTTTAAGTTAAACTCTTAGCTTAGTGCTTGTGTGATATGACAGAGGCTGAATTTCATCTAATATCTGTGAGTCTTAGAAAGAAAACTGAAGTAGATATACCTCTTTGAACAATAAACTTTGTTTTAATGTTATAAAAATACTACTGTGTATGTTTTGAAGTTAATGCTTCAATGCATGTAACTTACCTTGATTTGCCTTTTCTTTCACTGCTGCTTTGAGCTGCCTCTCATTGAAGTGTTGTGCATCAATATGCTATGGCTAACGTGAACTTCATAAAGCAAGATTTGATAAAATGCTTTGGAAAAAAAACCTGCATAGCCGTACTAATTGGAAATTAACGTATGCAAGAAAAGAAATGACTTGTACAACTTATGTATTGGCCTGAAAGAAATGATGAACAACAGTGAATACACAATGAGATTTGAAATTTAACTTATTTAAACAGTCCTTTGTATTGTAATGTAAAGCTTTTGCATCTTCGAGAGCATCAGCCACTGGATCTCCACACTCTGATAATTCACTAGTTTTGCTTCTTACCAAAAGTTTTGACCTTCTAATTTCTTTGAAGCTTCTAATTGGCTTTAACAGACACATTCTCTCTAACTCTACACTTATTTGGGGGTTATCTTTCTCTTTTGTTCATTGTTTTCCTTCTTGGGTGTCATGTAGAAGGTTAACTTAAAAGCTTTCTGAAAAGTGAGGGATAATGCTGAAGTGCCCCTGGATAAGGTGTAGCAATGGAACCGGTTGAGTATTGATTTAGTCACAAAAGAGATCCAGGTACTTGCATTTCAATTTCTTGAAAGGGTTCTGTCTGGAATTTGATACTACTAAGTAATAGATAGATTGATGGACAAATCTTTAAAAAGAAAATAGAAATCCATTAAAATTGAAGAAATCGTGAAAATTGGATTTAGATGACTCCAAAATATTTGACTGCACGTACAGCTTTATTCAGTCTTTTGTTCTCTGTTTTGAAGCTTTACGTAGCTAGGATTCTTCTTGTGAGGGAATAAAATTTTCATGTTTCCTTAAATTAAGGGGAGAAAATATTTAATACAAAGAGATAATGGAATCTCACTAAACAGTTAAACATATGCTTCTGTTAAAATACTAATACATGCTTTCAATATAAACAATTAGGTTAAACACATAGCAGAAGATCCACCTTGCAGCTGCTCCCATCGATTTTCCATTGAATACTTATCTGAGGGGCGTTATAGACTGGGAGATAAAATATTATTCATACGAGTAAGTAATTTCTCAATATTAAAATCTACATTCAAAATGGGAGAGAAATACTTTTAAGTGAAATACCTTATTTTTGTGGTATTATTTCAGGTTTACAGAATAATTTAGGGATATCACACAATTCAATCCTGTTCAAAGCAGGTCTGGCTAAGTAGATCTTACAACCACTGATTTTACGGTTAGAACCATGCTGAACTGAGAAAGTTAATGCTTTTCTTGCTTGTAAAATTTCAGTAGTGGTTTGTAGTATACCTAAGGGTAATACAACATAATACCTTGAAAACACTGCTTGTTCAAAATTCATACACATGGGTTTATAAATGATTTGCAGCTAGCTGAGCTAGTTCTTCAGGAATCAGAATTTGTGGGATTGAAAAAATGAAAGCATTCATAAATTGATCAAAACTGGCATCTAAAACTGTATACTAAGTAAGGATGCTGACAGAATGGTTAATATATTTTCTACATATACGCTTTCGTTGTTTCCTGACACATAATGACTCCTTCTGCAGGAAAAACAAAAGATCTGGGAAGTATAAATTTCTTAGTTATTCCATAAATTTTTTTCTTAAAATGATTCTCCATAAGAAAGGAGATCCTATATCAATTTAAATATTTCATAATATGAGGTGAAAACTTGGTGCTGCATAAAACAAAGTTTCTAACAGTCTTCCGTTGCCACCATTCTCAGATGCTCCACGGCAAACATGTGATGGTCCGTGTTGGTGGAGGATGGGACACACTCCAAGGCTTTCTGCTTAAGTATGATCCCTGCCGCGTGCTTCAGTTTGCAACTCTGGAGCAAAAAATCTTGGCTTTTCAGAAGGGAGTCACCAGTGACCATATCTCCAACTCAGCAGCCAGAATTCAGGAACCTCCTGTCATGAACCCAATGTCAGCTGTCAGTATGTTTCAAAAGCAACCAGCAAACCCTCCTACTCCTGTTCCAGCCCTAAAAGCTGTCCATGGGGCAACAGTTAAGAAGCCTTTATCTAAACATCCTCAGTCTCCTGCCCTGACTTCACCGAAGGTGCCAGTGCACACATCTTCCGCTGCCAAGTTGTTGTCAGCCAGACCCAAACTAGCAGATGCTCAGTCTCCTTTCAAACCACTGATGGGCACCTCAAAGAAACTGGCATCTCCTGCGCACCACTCACCAGCTCCTGTTCCTTCACTGCCTGCAAGCAAGAGCTCTTCATCTACAAGATCAAGAGCAGCTCTTGTTCACTCTGAAACATTACGCAAACGTATTCGCTCCCCTGATGCTCCAAAGGTGAGATTTGCCCCAGCCCAAGGCTCCCCAGCAACAGGGATGCATTCTGCGCTCTCAGCATCTAAGAAGCAGTTGTCTCAGTTGCCTGCAACAAGTGAAACATTGGCTTCGAAACAGAAGTGTGTCCCCTCTAAATCTAAACCTGCATCTGTCACTAAAACCAAGGTAAATTCTGTTGCTCCGAGACCAGCCCAGCCACCTGTTAGCAATCTGCGTGCTGTTGCCAAGTTTGCACATTCCCAGCAGCTCTATGTGAAATCTCCTTCTGAAAATACTACTCAGGGATCAGGAACTGGGTCTCAGCATCCTCGGAAAGCTCCGCAAACAGCTTCTGATCTGGCAAGGAACCTGAAGACTGCTTCAATCCTAAAGCACTCAGCTTCTGTACCTTCCCTGGCAGTTAGTAAATCATTGAAGTCACCACCTACACTGGGATCCAGAAGCAAAAATCTAATAGCATCTGTCAGTAAAACACCAACTACAGAGCATTTACAGACCCAAAATGTCAATAAGCCCCCTGAGGTTGGACCCTCCTCATCCAAACCTCCTGAACGCACTCCACTCTCTGTTGTGCGGCTTCCTCAAACTTCAGCCAAAGTGGCAGTGACCAAAAAAGCAGTGCAGCCCTCCACAAAAAGTCAGCCTTCAAGTACAGACTTGCAAGCCAATGGAAACTTGATCCCAACAGCGAAGAAACCTCTCTCTAAAGGAAAATCAGCAACAGCCTGTAACAAAGGAGCACCTAATGCATCGAAAGGGCCTCTTCTGAAGAGCAAACAAGATGATCATTATTTTGTTATGACTGGGAGTAAAAAGCCCAGAAAGTAAACCTATCTGTTAACTTCTGTGGAAGTCCCTGTAACATTCAAATGGGCCTCTGAAAATTGCTATGCTAAAGAGAAAAATAAGTTAACTAACACTACATGTGCCATTCCAAATGTTAGGCATGATTACATTTTGCTGCATAACTTACAGTAAAAACTGTATTTATTTTGCAGTTTTAAAACTTTTTTTTAGATATATTTACAAGTAAGCTTGCTTGCACTGTGGAATAGAGGATAACCATGTTTGCTGCTAGCCTGACCTGCTGTGGGGAAAGGCAGGAGAGAGGAAGGGGAGCTGGAATGCTGCTGCTTTTTGTTTTCCAGGGAGTTAAGCTGAGCAATTCTGGTTGTTCTAAGCACATCTGCATCAAGGCCTGTGGCAAGCGATAGAGCTGTGCAGATGCTATAAAATTTCTAATACCTCAAACAAAATTTTTGAGGGTTTTTTCCCTTTTTTTTTTTTTTTTAATTTTCAAGTTTGTTAGTGTTTCAGGACCCGAAATCTGGGTATCCTGTGTGTATTAGAGACATTGGAAGACATTTTTTTTTTTTTTTTTTTTTTAACTCAGAGGATGTTGAGGCACTGGCACAGACTGCCCAGAAAGCTGTGGGTGCCCCATCTCTGGAGGCACTTAAGGCAAGGTTGGATGGGACTCTGGGCAGCCTGAACTGGAAGGTGGCAGCCCTGCTCATGACACAGGGTGGGACTGGATGGGCTCTATGTCTCTCCAAATTTACGTCATTCTATGATTAGAGAGAAATCTCTGGACTTATTCAGTTTGACTGCTGTAGCTATCAGCATTCACTATGCTCCTACGTGCCTAAACAGGGCTTCAGCTTGCTTGGGTGTGGAGCCTTGGCTTGCTTTAAATTATGCATAGGAAATCATGGCCTTGATCACTCTTCTTTTTTTTTTTTTTTTTTTTTTTTTTTTTTTTTTTTTTTGTGCCTTAGCATTGCTGCTTGTAAAGGCCTGGGGAGACAACTTTGCAGCTCTTGCTGCATGGGAAGAAGTTGCTGTGAGGTCATTTTCCTGCAGGATGGACACCATGGGGCTGGCATAGGGCCTGCTTGGGCAGAGCCTTGCTGCAGTGCAGGAGTGGCCTTTTTCTGTAAAACTGAACTGCTGAACACTTATTGATGCTTGAGGTTTATTTGTGTGGGCAGTCTTAGTCTGTGTTGGCCTTTGTTTTGCTTATGGAGACCTTGCTAGTGGCTCTCCTTATTACTTTTCAGAGATGAGGAGTAGTTTCCCACAGAGCTACCAAAGGCTTGTCTTTGCCTTAATGCCTTTGGAAGTAGCACAGAGTGAAGTGCCATTTACTCTCAACTCATGAAGGCTCTTTGTGGGTCCATGTTTCTCAGTAGAAATGAGTTTCATGGTAGATGAACAAAAACTACTGTCTCTGGAAGTAGCATTGTTTAAGATAATTTGGGTTTAATGAACAGTCAGTCATATGAATGTCAAGGAACTCTCAGGTTCTGTGGAGAGACACTGTGACTGCAGACTTCCACTGTTGTTACTGTGGCTGTTGTTACTCCTGCTGTCAAGATATTTACTTATGGGTAGAAGAGGCAACATGGAAACTGCAGCTTCTGATGCTATATGTTGAATATTTTCTTCCTGGAACTAGAATAAGCAAGCATTGTAAACTAATTGTGAGTTTTCATGTGCAGCGGTGACGCTATCAAGCTACCTGTCTGAGCACCTTGTTAGCTTCGGTTATTTATCATTCTATTTATGCATCTCTACTGTACAACTCCTACAACTCCTGTTTACAACCTGCTGGGAGTAAACAGGAAATAACAATATACAAACTATTGTAGGAAAATATCAGTTTTAATAACATAGCTCCCACAAACTTATGTTCAAGCTTGTATGTGTGGGGAAGGCCTTACTGCTTATTTATTTTATAAATGCGCTGGCCAAAGCCACTACTGCAAATGTTAAGAATTGTATTGATTGTAGGGGAGTTAGGTTAAAATTGACACGCTATTTTATACTCTGAAAGCATTTTGCAATAGACGACTTGCTTTTAATTTTGATCTCCCATAGAATGAGCTGTGATGCAGCATCTCATGCAATAGATGAGTTGGGGTTTCTTTCTGTACAAAGTCTGAGTGGGATGAGGTTGCTCTCTTCACAGCAGCCCATATGGTGCTGTGTTCTGGATTTGTAGCTGACACGGTACTGATAGCACAGCAGGATTTGGGCAGTTGCCAGAATTTGTTTGCATGGCATCAAGGCTTTCTTTTTTCCCTTTCTCTTTTCCCCATGCTGACCCTGACAGCAAGTGGGTTGGGAGTGGGTGCTTGGCTTCTTGCTGGATGGTTCAACAACCCTCAACACTTTTTGAACTGTTTACAAGTTTCACAGTACTACTATAAACACCAAGACTCTTGGATCCCTGCGTAACAGTTATCTCAGCATCTACCTTTGAAAGCAATTATTTGAGAGAAAGTAAAGTGGAGGGGGGTTTCAACTTTTTAATGTGTTATCTCACATAATAGATTGAATTTTGTTGTTCAAAGTGAAATGGAAAAGTGTAAACTGGGACACAGGCACTGAAAAAGGAAAAAAAAATCATTTTACTGTTGAAAACCTAGACAGTTAATCTAAAGATGCTGCATGTGCTATGTATGGGTTAGCTTGGTTTGTTTTTTTATTACAAAAATAGTGTAAGTATGATCTAACTTGTGCAAATAATTGCAGTCTTCAACTTTTTATTCAGTCATTTTATAACTGATGATGTCATGTGGCACAAGGTGAGCTAATAATCAAAATGCAAGAAAATACCTCCTGCTGAAAATACTCTTTTCTCAATGTTTATATTGCCAAACAGTAAATTTGATCTTCAACTTGTATTACTTTTTGAGTGGGAAAGATTAGTTGGAACAAGAATCTTATTTCTCTGTATGCTTTTGATGTCTTTGAGTACTTATTCTAAATAAATATATACTGCACCTTTTTTCATGCACACTTTTTTTTTCTACTGTTGTTTTTTGTGTTTGTGTGTAGGGGGGGAATGGAGTTTGCTGTTTCAGAAGGGTTATGTTTTTGCTCAAACACGACTTACCTGTTAGTAGCTTCTGTGTCAGGGTATTATGAAGACATAAATAGCTATTGTTTTGTTTGGAGTTCAAGACCTCTGAACTGTGTTTCAGTAAAACAGTATTTGAGGAGATGGGGCTTCTTGCTCTTTCCTACTAGGTAACGTGCCTGAGTACTTTCAGATACCTCTGCAGTAGAATTGCCAGGTCATGATCTGAATCAATGGTTGAACACCAGGTGAGAAGGCATGACTAACCCAGGGAGCTCAGGTGCAAGCAATGTAACTGAGTGACAAGAAGAAGTGGAGCCTGGAACCACCCCTCCTCAACCTCACTTAAGGGTTAGCAGTTAAGGGAGTAGCATCTCTTTGGTGAGAGAGTGAGCTCTTCTCAAGCTGTCACAGGTCATTGGAAGGGTTGAGCTAATTTTCCTTCTTTACTACCTGCTGTTCTTCTATATTGCTTGTATCTCATATTTCTAATATCCACAGTCCAAATCTATTCTTCTAACTCAGTGGCGAGGAAATCTTAAGCTCTTGCTTCTCCAATTCCAGAGAAGAATGTAACTTCAAGTTTTGGCCCTGTTCACAACTAGACAATGGAAAATACAGCTTCATCGCTAAGCTGGTAGATCAAAACTAGGGCAGCTTCTCTGCTGGTTTGTGGATGTTTGACTTAGAGCTCCATCTTTTACACTTAAGTGGAATTCCTAACCTGGAGAAGCCAAGTGCTTTTTTTTTTTCTTTTCTTTTTTTTTTTTTACTGTTATACTGAAGATGTGCAACTGGCTAACAGATCATCTTGCATCAGTGTTCATTTCCTCTGCCAGCAATATATTGCTCATTGCAACTATCAAGCTCCTCAAAGCATTATCACTATTCTAGTAATTAGTTGGCTGTAATGCTGACTTCTGAAAGGATTGCCTAAAGTAATCATCACAGTGCTTTATTTCTCATTTAGGTACTGTTAATCTAGTTGTGGAAAATGTCAAACAACCCTACTCTGGCCAAAACAAGTCTGGATCTTGTATGTCCTATGGGTTTTGCACATGTAGTTGCAGGCCTTGAGTCTCTTCTGATTTGCTGTTCCTCAGCGTGTAAGCTGGAGAAGTGCTGTGTAGTGATCCTTTCTGCCTCTGATTCATGATAATGCAAGTTAAGCATTCTTCAACATCACTGCCATTTGAAATCCTTTGGTGGCCAATGGTTTATCATCCATTACAAAATGTGTAAGCTGGGTTGTGTATCACAAGGACGTACTCCAAAGTCATCCTGAAAAATGGAAGAGAGTTATATGAAGCTACAGATTACTCTGTTTTCTTCCCAAAGTCCTACATGGTTCACACAGTAAAATGGTGTTCTGCTTATAATGGAAAAAAACATTTGGACCATTCCACCAACAAATCTTGTTCAGAATGGGTTACCTTTTTGCCTTTTGTTTATTTCAGGTGGACTTCGGCCTTGTAACAAAATGCTCCACAATAGTTAAAATGTAGGTCATTTATGGCTGATGACAAAATCTTCAGAGACAGCAACAAACATAGGGGTGCAGGTGAGGTTCTGAGAGCTTTGCTTGCATGTGGCTGATACCAGTGCCCTGTACAGCTGCCGTGCTCTGTGGCACTTCAAATTTTTTCTCCTCTCTGTCAGTATCTGGCTTAGGAGAAACATGACAGTGTGAGCAGCAGCTACCTACTAACATCTAGAAAACATCTGGATTAATGAAGTACACAACCATGAATGCTTAGTATGTGCACAGTTTGGAAGACTTCATTTATTGTTTGGCAATTTTATATACATAAATTAATTGTTAAAATTTAAGGCAGTTTTCCTTCTAGGGCTCAAGCAGCCTTAGCTTCAAACAGCACATCGAATGGATCCTTCTCTGTGTCCCTATCTGGAAACCGAAATCTGTTTGGCAGATCAATGAGTGCTATGGAGCCCTCTGGTGTCCAACAATCTTATAGGTGCTACTCAAGCAAGTGGTGGCCTCTGAATCTTCTTAAAAAATCCACAGGCAAAACCTTTCTTTTTCATTCAAATTAAAGCTCTAGGCTAGTAAAATCCAGGTGTGGGATGCAAAAGATTTAATTTTGCAAGATCCTTTCATTTCATGTGAGTGCATATTGAAATTTTCCTTTTCATGAGGGCCGGGATCATTAATAAAAGTTTTGAAAATTAAATGGTGTTAAATGTAAATAAGCTGAACGCAGTTTCAGGCCCATTAAGAAAGATTCAAGCGTTAAAATATCGGAGAGGTGTGGTCTACTCGCAGCACAGTTCTAGCTCCATTAACTGGGAGCTGAACATTCTGGTGTGTCACCAGTGCAGATGCGAGCAGCAGATGGCTTTTCAGTTGGAGAGGAGAATTGATGCTGCCTAAGATCAATGCTGTTATGGCACTGTGTGGAGTATGTGTTCCAGATGGAAGAAAAACCTTACAGGGCAGGAGCCAACCGGCCATTTCTCTGAGGGATGTACCTAGGCAGAAAAAGTTGACAGAATAGTTGTGTTAAGAGGTTTTTGGTGGTAGATTTGCACTGCAGAACTTAGATATCAACTCGGCACAAAGTGCTGAATCAGAAAGTGCTGTGCAAAGCTGCAGTCCTACAAAATAAAGCCAAGCTTGCATGTTTCCTCAAGAAAAAAAAAAAAAAGCTAGGTACTCACACAGAGGGAAAGTAGCACAAAATGTTTGTCAAAATACTCAAATGTGGCATGTTTCAAGAAACATATTAAGATGTTTATATGCATATTTGCAGATATGAAATAAAAATGTGCTCTACCCCTCTCTTGCATTTAAAGGTAAAAGTAACTGCTGGAGTTCAGGATCAGAATCTTGCAATTTTCTGATCCTTTATGTAAATGTTATTATTTTACACCTTTCTCAAGTGTAGCTACTGCAACAGAGAGCACCTTGTACTGGAACCTATATTCCCAGAAGAACATAAATAATTACTGTGGAGTGTCATTCTGATGATGAACAGTATGCTTTCTTTTTTTTTGCTGAGCATGCTATTCTATAGACACCTGTGAAACAGGGCCATAATTAATTATGTTTATTATGTATATACTGCAGCATCGACCCTTGCAGTACTTTCAAATTATTTGTTGCTGCATCCAAAGAAAAGAACAGCAGAAAGAGTTTTTTTTAAGGCAAATATATATGCTTTGGGTCTGGAGTCCTGGAATTGCTCCAGTACTCCAGTACTGTACATCAGATCTGGGAGGATTTTGTGAATACACAGTTGTATGGTCAAATTTTAATGCATCCTCAGATATAGCATGATATTCAGCTATGTCAGATTACTGTCAAATGCATAAAGAGGCAATTTTGGTATTATTATTATTATCATCTCTGCACTAGATTATGCCTGGTTTTGAGACTGCAAATGAAAACCGTGGGAAGTTTTTTGGAATATTTGTTTCAAAGCCCAGTAGTTTTCTTGAAAATCTGGGACTTGACTCACAGCCCATTTTAATTAGACTGTGAAAGTGACTTATTGGGACTGTAAAATTAAATGTAGTTTAGAAAGTGTCATAATTCAGATGTTCGGTGCTTCCTTCAGATTTCTCTTATATGGACGCATCTTGACACATTCTTTCATTAAAAGACATGATTTGGATCTTTTCCTTCAGGATATCGTATAGAAGAGAGCTCTGAGTGCACGAGTAGCCGTCGAGCTTTTGAGATTCTCCCTGTACTTTGGCATGTGGTCCCTTGCCCAATTCTCCACGCTGTACTGAAAACCATGATTCATTGTCATGAGTTCCTCCAGGATCATGTCACTGGCCTCTGATTATTTCCTGAGGTGTAAAGCAAATAGTTTTATCTCCTTAAACAAGAAAATCAAGGCTCTAAATTGCTGAGATTAAAGCATTCACTCAGCTGAGGTAATTGAATTGTCTTGCATTTTATTAGTCAAAGTAGCTAGTGAGGTACAAGACTGAATAAATTCAGGGGACTTTACTCACAGCTGGGAGCGTTTAGCAGCTAGTAAATGTGATTAATGGGCTTAAGGCAGCTGTATGAAGTGGAATGTGTATTGAAACCCAACCCCCCCTCTGCTGCCTTATGGGAGAATAAGCTTAGCTTCCTTGTCTGGTACAATGCTGAAATTCTGAGGGAGAAAAAAGACTTATATATTACATTCCTAGAGGCATAAGTTGCCTCTAGGATGTCTGATGCAGAAGGCAAAAGAATCACCCAATTTTCCTGAAGTGGGCTCATCCATCAGTACTATGGAAAAAGAAGCAAGGAGTTTTTAGGAGATTACAGCTCATCTTAAAAACAGGTAAGAAATCAGAGTTCAACTGGCCTGTGCCAGTCTGATAATTTTTTTTCCCTATTTTTATAATATTTGACTCTGTAGCATTTATGGCTTTAGGTGTGGCTTCATATGTTGCTCTGAGAAATAAAATCTGAACTGTATTTGGTGCACTATAAGCTCTAGATCATATTATAAATCATAGAGCGGCCTGGGTTGGAAGGGACCTCTAAGATCATCTAACTCCAGCCCCCCTTGCTATAGATAGGGACACCCCCCACTAGACCAGATTGTTCAAGGCCCATCCAGCCTGGCCTTGAATGCTTCCAGTGTGGGAGCATCCACAGCCTTTCTAGACAACCTGTTCCGGTGTCTCATGAATCTCACAGTAAAGAATTTCTTCCTAATGTGTGATCTAAATCTACTCTCTTCCAGTTTAAAGCCATTTCCTCTCATCCATCCCATCTCATCCTGTTGCCACGTGCCCTTATTAGAAGTCCCTTTTCAGTACTCCTGTAGGTCTCCTTCAGGTACTGGAAGGCCACTATCAGGTCTTTCCAGAGAATAATTCACAGACCAGAGCTACGATCTTGCTCCAAATGACTCTTGAGATGATCCTGGCTCTTGCAATTTGTTTGAAGAACCTGGGAATACCAGCCA